TTTTGGCGGATTTGTTAAGAGTTGAAGCTAATGTTCGTATTAACTTTCTGCATAACTATGGCTTTCTTCTTAAGTGGAAAACCAGCTTCTTCATTACCACTGATTCTGCTGTGGAAAAGAGTGTATTAAAGTTATTCTGCAGAGATATAAACAATCTTGGTTTTAACATAATGCCTGGAAAGAAAAGGCTTTATTTGAAAATATTACTGTTTTTTGGAAGCAGCATAATTCAGAGTAATTTAGTTCTTGGACAACTGCAAATATTGCATTAAATTCATCATGAAAATCGGTGGTTTAATTTCCAAAAGAAAAGTAAAACTAAAGATTGTGTAAGAAATGTTACTGCTGCTTCCCTGTGCCATATCCAGTAAGGATCCATCCAAACAGACATCAAGTTGAGGAAAATGATATATAATCTGCAGTGAAATGCCATGAATTTGGTCTGGGATATATATTTCTTGTAAATCTGCATTTTAAGGTCCAGATTGACTTTGAAATAATCTAAGGGATTCATATGGTAGGAAGGACATCTGGAAGAACATCAGTGTTAAGTTATATGGAGTAAAGAAATTCATATTGTTACGTTATTTTCTTCCTTAACGTATGTTTGAGGTTTGTAGATTTGGGGTGAATAACGACAATACTTGATGAAGTATCAAAAAACACTTTATTCAGCCAATATTAATCAGGACAGCCTCAAAGTCACTTTTTACAGTCATCGAAGATCTACTATAAATATGCTGGAACAATCAACGACACAGCCTTCACACTATCAGACTATAACGGTGGAGACAGCTTTGCTGCAAAGTACCAGAGTACAGCTCCCAACTCTGCTCAGTTGTTCTTGGAACTCCACGTACTCTTGAAATTCTCCACGCTACAATTCCCGATGCACTCGGCGACACACAGAACACAGCTTCCAACTCTTCGGTTCCGCCGTTCCTGGAGCGTAACACACTCTCTCAATGATGCACTAACTGCGATACACTAAGAGGTTCTCCGACGGACTCGACGACTAACTCGGCTCTAGACTTCGAGACACTCGCTCAATCGAGACACTCGGTCAATGACTAACTATCAGCTCGCTAGACGAGGCACACTCTCACTGACTGTGGACCAGCAGGGTTTATCCAGCTTCCAGTGTGTGTACAAGAACATTCTGGGCTAAACCGGAAAGAATTCATTCCAGAAGGTTCTCCATCCGTCCATGGCATGTCGCCAAATATGCAGTTTCTCACCAAATAAGGCAACCCTGCTTTCCCTTGCCATTTTATGGTAACTCTAAACCTGCTTTGTGGGGAAGCCATCTAAAGCACCTGGACATTTCGTAACACTTCCCCCTCTCCCAAGGACTGCACGTCTTGGGCAGTACAACCCTTGGTCAGAAGCCAAATTCGATACAATCAAAATGCTTTAAAACATACAGATAACATAATTAAAGAAACAAATATTTACACTATATACAAGTTAGGTACACAAATTAAACACATAACAATTTTAAATTATACAAATTAAAGTTCAGAAAGAATTTCAGTCTCAGTTTTTTATTAAAATATACCCGGGTCAAATACTTTTCCACTGCAGTTCTCAGATGTATTTCGGTTTTTGCATATCACTGTCTGAAGATTCAGTCCTTTCAGACTTGTCATCCACAGGAAGATCTGAAGCAGTTTGTTCACATCATGTGTACAGTTCTCCTCGGTATTTTTAGCAGCTGGTACATGTTCGTTTTCCTCCATTTTCTGGGAACCAACTACAAATTCTGCATCAGAATCATGAACGGGGCCCGATACTTTACAAACGCAAGTATCCTGGCTTAGATTCAAGTCCATGTCTGCATAATCTGTATTAGCAGACACACACTCAGTTTGTGGAGTGGGTGAATTTTCTTGCAATACTGGAGCACACTGCTTAAGCTGCACATCAACTTCTCTCATCTCTGCATCACATGCATTTTCAGATAGTTCAATACTCACTAACTGCGACTTCATAACTTCACTATCAGTTTCTACCAACTTCACTGTCACATTTTCACATTCTTTCATCTCTACTTCAGGCATTTGAGAATCAGGAACTCTATTTTCATGAATTATTTCTTCACCTCTTTCAGAAGCTTTACAAGCCACTTCGTTTATTTCTTCATCCTTACAAACGGTATTATCACTGTCTTCCTCAGTTATCTCAGTAGTAATTTCAATAAACATATATTGCTTTCTGTAACATGCCTGGTTCGCCATATATGTATCCTTTTCACCATGCACTGTGATTTAAAAACATAAATATTTTCTCTTTTGGTTAATGCAGATATGAAATTTGTATCGATTTTCTTTATCTAATAAATTATCGAAAGTATTCCCGTCATTTATAAATAAAAGTGTATTTAAATGTAAAAAAAATCTATATTGTAAGTATGACTTGAAAATTTGTTCGCTGACTGAAAATTTTAAATACAGCTTTTATTTTTAGGAATAATTTCTGATGAGGTAATTATGGCAGAATCAAGAAAAATTATAATGATTTGATATTTTTCCAATCTTAATTGACTTTTATTTGAAATTTGGTGTTTATGGAATATACATACAGTCAAAAGTCGTTAATACGGACACCCATAATCCAGAATGATCTGTAATCTGGACCTCAAAGCTACAAACTTTCTGCGCATGCGTCACATTGATGCGTGCAAATAGGTGTTTACGCGTGCACGTAAGACCTTTACGGTTGCGCATATGCATGTGCGCAAGCGCATAATACGTTTACGCATGCGCGTTTAATGTATAACGGACAGTATAAGCTAAAATTATCTATTTCAGTTAATGTTGCAGATTGTGTTGTTCCTTAATCTTCGAATTGGATCTGGCTTATTATTTTTTGCAGACTGTTATGTTAGAGCAATTTTATAAAAGTAAGCTTGAACTTTGGAATATGTCAAATACAATTTCCGATGCTGGAGCTCCCAAAGGATCTGCAAAGCGAAAGTATGTTTCGATGTCCATCAAACAAAAAGTGGAATTGCTGCAAAAAATGGATAAAGGCATATTCTTGTTTCTCTAACCATTCCGAAATCTGGATATCAATTTCACGCTGCTCTGTGGCGGGGAGGGGAGAAATTCCGCAGCGCGCAATGAATTGGGAGTTGATCTGTCAGCACTATCCTTATCTTCAGGGCAGATGTTTTTATTTTATTTGGCTTATAATTCCTTACTAAATGTAGTATTTTATCTCGATGTACTCCGTCTTTGATATGATTTAAATCGAATTCCTCGTCATTATAATTCGCTTCCGATAGTGGAGAAAGTGACTCAGATGTTATTGAAAACGAAAAAATTTCGATTGACAAATTAGTCGGTATTCTCGACACAGCAATTATAGGACTTGAACAGCGGAACTTTGTAACTGAACAAGAAATTATATTTGTTTATAGAATTAAAGAGAAAGTATTATCACATAAAACGAAGCAACTTAAACAACTTTACATTGAAAGAAATGTTTAATAAAGTAAACAAATAAATATTAAGTTTTTTTTTTGTAAATTTTGATACCTTTTAGATCATAATTGTTCTTTATTTCATAAATTACGATTTCATATTTTTGATTTTATAATTTCTGCATGCCATCTTACCAGATTTAAACTGATGATCTATAATCCGGAATCGCGAAGTCCCGACGAGTCCGGATTAACGACTTTTGACTGTACCTCATATCAAAAATGTAGAAGTAGTAATTAGTAACTTTCACCCTGTATTATTCATAATTCTTTATTTGCTTTAAAAGATAATGTATTTTGTTTAGATTTTTAACATGAACAGCAACTTTCATTTTTTAAAATTTTACTAGCCACTTGCATGGCTAGTAAAAAATAAAGAATCTTTAAAAGATAATTATTATAAATTGTCACTTGATTTAAAATAATTATAATAAAAAGGAAAACTCTAAAATAATTTTAACAAGTCCAGCTAATGTAATTTCATAAAAATATTTAATATTTCTCATTAGACATCCCATGATTTAAGTGTTTTTATTTAAAGCAGTTGGATTAAAGGATAGGAAAAGTATTTTTAAGAACTGCATTCATTGATTAAAATTGCTTAGTTTTTTACTCATAAGACAGATTAATGAAAATTAAATACCATTCGGACTGAATGACAACGTGTTGACACATGTAAGATAAATGTATTTTTTGGCAGGCAACATGTCTAACTAGCTGAATATATTAATCAGAATTTCATAAAATTTATACAAAATCTAAAGTTCTTTTAAAAAATTCAGAATTTGACCTTTGAGGTGCATATATTTCTGGAAAAGACTGTGTGTTTGAAATGGGGTGGCTCTTTTTGCTGCTGTTTCACCACAATGTTATTAAATTCAAAAGACAAATTTATTGTATTTCTTTTATGTCCCCGAGTTTTGTGATTAAATTTGAAACATAAATATCTTATGCTTTGGTAAGTGATAACACAAAAGCTTTTAAATCGCTGAATTTTTAATCAAAAGTTCATTAAATTCGCACAAAATACAATGTAAATAAAAAATAACTTCAAAATGGTTCAAATGGCACAGTATTTGTATTCAAAATGTGATGGTTCTCTCTATGCTGCTGTTTTCCCACAATGTAAGGAACATACAAATATACATCAGATTCTTTATTATTTAATAGTAGTGATAAAGTACTTTAACTTTTATTTTCCCCAAAAATTCTAATATAGGACATAATTTTGTAATTTTGAGTTATATTAAAAATGAGGCATATTGTTGCTCTCCACTGTATTGTGGCCAAACTAAAAATATGCAATTGTTTTATCATTTAAATAATGACAGTTAGATATTCGGCTTTTCTAAAGTGCTTTTAATTAATTTCCTATCAGCATTAATGTAATATTGCAACTTTATTAATCAGTACCCCTTTTAATCAAATACATTCATTCTCCTGTTCTGTTTATATTAATTATTTGCCAGTGATGCTCAGAAGATATAATTAAAGTATTGTTCCATATTTTGTGCAGATAAGAGCTCACTGCAGCTAGCTGACCTTGCAATCATCAGGAGACTAATCATGGAAGGTATACTTGAATGAATTTGGCATGTGTTTATTAGTATGCTATTAAGATGTCAAACAGGTTGATTTGTCAGTGCCTGGCATAATCTGCAAAATATTTTTTAGCAAAGTGGAAGTAGAGATCAGTCTTAGCAAATTCATAACTTAAGATTAAAGCTTATAAACTGATATATCTGTAAACTTTAAAAATGTATTTGCATATAAAATACATAAGATATAATGTGGGTATATGGTTTTTAAAATGATTGACCCAGCTTCAAATGGCCTTTCCTCCTATTTAAATAAGTTAATAAAGGATAAGTTTTTAATTTAATTTAATGAAGAGTAATAAATAATATGTGAAATGAAAAGAAAACTACTAGTTTTACTTTCATTTTATTTAGTTTTATGAATCTGGAGTCAATGCAGTATTTTTATTTTTGCAATTAATCTCAAGTTAATGGTAAGTTTTTTTGTCACATTTGCTCCTACATATCTTGTATTATTTGCATAGTGGTTACTGTACAATTTTTGAAGTCATATTGGCTGTTAAATGAAGATGTGAAACACAGCTTTGCTATATCATCAAAAAATAAATAGATTACATAAGGTTTAGTGATCAAAATAACTAGCTGTGGTATAAGCATTGCTGCCTTTACAATCACAATAGCAATCATCCTGTGGATCTAGTTGCACATGGGTATGCTGTGTGTTGGAATTGCCGATACCACCTATGAATACTCTAAGTAATGGTGGAATAATTCCATAATACTAATGAAACTAGCACTGTAAGGTATAACCACCTTAAGTATAGCAAATTTTTTGACGCAGTCATGCAGCAACTGTTTTGAAGCATTCTTAAACTTGGGAGATTTCTGTTTTATGTATGGCAATTTAATGCAAGATTATGAAATATAAATTTATACTTATCTGAAATTGGATCAATCATTTTTAAATAATCATATATTGTACAAAGATTTAAACTATGAATAAATAAGTAAACAATTAAAAGTAAGTTGCTGTAGGTTTGAAATTTCTGTTGTGCAGTGTTAAGAATATTTTGTATTAAGCACATATGAAATGAGAGCAGCAGTATTGCCCTTAGATTTAACAAAAATTTCTGAAATTTTTCTCCAAAAAGTGTGTGTGTTTTTTTTTTTTTTTTTTTTTTTTTTTTTTTTTAATCCACTTAAAATTATTTGTATGTGCACGTACTAAATAATAAAGCGTGTAAATGTATATACAGTAATAAAATAATGTGTTTATTTTTAAACAATGTAATATATCATACTCTAAATTAATGTCTAATTTTAATATTTATGTGATGTTTAAACTGTTTTAATGAATTGTTGGATAATTGTAAAAATTACGTACTCCATTCTTATTTCATTTTATTTAGCATTTTTATAATTATTGACTGTTTTAGATAATATGCATTGTATATCAAAACCTTAAATCAGTCATTTATGGATGCATTAGTAATGTACAGAAGTAAAGGAACTTTTTTTATTTCTGACTCTGTTTAGCTGCATTGCTGTAACTTTGCTTTCTGGGAGAATTATCCAAAAATCTGCTTATATTTTTACTTAAAATACTAACCAAAATTGTAATTGGCTGATTCTTCTTAAAGTCATGAAGATAACAAATGTACATATATCATTGATCTTTTTGCATGCCAATTAAAATAAATTATCACAGTTCATTGAGGCATGTAGGTAAAAAGATGTGTATTTAAAAATACTAATTGACTATTTCACTATACATTTCATTTAGAGTATAGAGAGTAGTTACTGTTTATTTTTTCTTCATAATACAGGTTTTTTTCCTTCAAGTTTGTTGTTCATTTTACACTGAACAAATCTGAAAAGAGGTATAGAATTATCAAATATGTTTATTTAGGTTATTGTTTGAGGTAGAGGTTAGAAAATATTTTACATGATACTTTCAAAATGACCATTATAGTCTTTTAAAATAATTTCAGTCAAGTTGCTCATCTCTCCTATAGTTCATCACTGGTTATCAATATGATATTTAATGTGATAGCAAATTAACCTTTATGAGTCATGATGTCCTTCCTGCTACTGATATTTAGGAAGAATATACATTTTTTATGTAACAAAAGACTCTTTTGGCAGTGGCACATCTTAATAACACCACATATTTTGCATTTTTACCAGATTAATTTGATTAATATACTCAATCTTAGTAGATTATTTTTATGCTACCAGTCAACCTAAACTGAGAACAACTAGATATGCTGTAAAGCATGTGCTTCCGCCAAAGAGTATAGTTCTATTGTTTCTCTGAGTTGCAATTTAGAAAATCAAACAATGAAATGTGAATATTGTTGAGATAAAAAAGTGGTTAGAAAAGGGACCTTAGAAAAAGAATATTTCACTCCTAAATTTTTATTTCAAAATAAAGTAATATAGTTGTCAGTCACTTGATGACCAATAGGGACAAATCCTATCTATTTTTAGCAAAAATGTAAATTGCCAATAACCCAAACATGTTCTCTGTCTTACTAAAAAAAGAAATAAATTATCTCTGACCTTAATACTTTAAAGCAGTTGTCCTGATGCATTCTGATTAGCAGAGAATTGCTAGCAGCAAAATTTTCATATCCCTGAAGATCGAGAAATTTCTATCTGCCTTGTATTCAGCATGTATGTTTAGTTTTCAAGAGGGTTTCACTTTATCAATGCTTTGGATTTTTCCAAATAACGAAAATAATAAATTAGCATGTAATATCACTATTAGAAATAAAAAAATCAATATTTCTAAATGGCGAAATCCGTTTTTATTAGAAATTATTTAGTAGAAATATAATCCGGACTCGTCAGGACTTCGATTCTGGATTATAGATAATCAATTTAAATCTGGTAAGATGGCATGCAGAAATTATTCAATTAAAAATAGTAAACTGTAATTTATGAAATAAAGAGCAATTATGATCTAAAAGGTATCAAATTTTACAAAAAAAAAGCTTAATATTTATGTGTTTACTTTATTGAACATTTCTTTCAATGCGCGCATGCGTGTAATGTATGCTCATTCTTTATGTGCACACGTAAAGCATACAAAAAAAGTTTATGGCTTTGAGGTCCGGATTATAGATTATTCTGGATAATGGACGTCTGGATTATGGACTTTGTACTGTAATATTTTTTCATAACATTGCTCCGTTTTGAGAGGCCTTTCTTGAGAGTTAGAGCTTTGCCAAAATTAATTATTCAGTGTTTCCTTTGTTATCATTTATACTTTATCAAAAATGAGCTCTGATTTATCATCAAAAACCATTCATATATGCTCTTACATTTGAATTTGTTCTTTAACTATTTACGTAGCGTATTCAGAAACTAAGTACTGTTTCATTTTAGCGCCGTCGCAGTGCTGTGGTAGGCATCCTGTGCATGCGCACTAATCTGTCTTTTTCACTGACTTTCAATTGTCGCCATTTTGGTTGCTCTATGTTGTGTTTTCAGTTTGCTGTGCACATTCAAAATATTTAAGACAATTAGTTCTCCCGCTGACTGTGAGATTCGTGCCGTGATTAAATTTTTGAACACGAGGAATGTTAAACCGGCCGAAATTTATCATCAAGTGACAGAAGTTTGCGGTGAATACGCGATAAGTGATGGAATGGTGAGAAAGTGGGTAAGAATGTTTAATGCAGATCGAACAAATGTCCACGCCGAGGCTCGGAGTGGTTGGCATGCAATGAACTGGAAGTTGATCTCAGCACTATCGTTATCTTCAGGGCAGATGTTTTTATTTTATTCGGCGTATAATTCCTTACTAAATGTAGTAAGTATTTAATCTCAATGTACTCCATCTTTGATATGATTTAAATCAAATTCCTCGTCATTATAAATATCACGAATACAAATCAAATAGTTTTCTGGTTGCAATTTTCTAATTTTGGCTATGCGTAAGGTACGCATGCGCACGTTGAAAGAAATGTTTAATAAAGTAAATAAATAAATATTAAGCTTCTTTTTTTTTTGTAAATTTTGATACCCTTTAGATCATAATTGCTCATTATTTTATAAATTACGATTTCATATTTTTAATTTTATAATTTCTGCATGCCATCTTACCAGATTTAAACTGATGATCGATAATCCGGAATAGCCAAAGTCCCGACGAGTCCGGATTAAAGACTTTTGACTGTATTAGCATCTTATTTCAGTTATTTTATTTGCTTTGAATTAATTATATTTTTCGTATAGTAGTACCAAAATTAAAAAGTGTGTCTTAGAACTGGGCATCTTTTGAACTCAAACTGCAAAGGCAGAGCTTATTGAAGCCCGAATTCCATATTAGATGAGCTCTTACATTTGAATTTGTTATTTAACTCTTTAGCATTAATTTAATTTAATAATCATTTTGTTTACCTCTGATTTTGCTACAGTTTATTTTTGTTTTATTTATTTACTTTTGATCATCTTTCCTACCACCTTCTAAGGGGCTCCTACACTTTAAATTTTGGAAATTAAGTCGTGTACAAAGAAAGGATAATATTATTAAAATTTAATTTTTAAAACAATTTCAGCCTTTGATATAGTGAATTAATTGGTGCTTATGAACTAAATTTCAAAATTATTAAATGATTCTCTTTAAAGTATGGGGAATAAGGAAAACACAGGGTTTCTGTCTTAAAATATCAGCTTTAACTCAGCCTTTATCATATATCCAGCAAAAACAATAAATAACTTTCACTAATTAAACTTTCCAAGTTCAGCAAACAACTGCCAAATGTCTATACACATTGAAGAAATTGAACATACTGGAGTGGCTACTTTGTACAAGTAACTTGAAAAACAAAGGAAAAAGCTGCAGTTTAGTCATCATATTTCTTGGGGTAGATCGATGTCAAGTATAATAGACTCTAATTCAAGTCCTGAATAAATCATGAACATTTCATTATTGTATGGAGTTGTTAAAATCCTCAAGTTGGGAAGTTCTCTTCAGAAATCGGTAATAGAAAATGGATATAAAATATGCTAGTGATTGCTTTTGATG